GATATTTGTATTATGGATTTTCCCTGGAGCACATCTTGCTCAAATTTAACGATGAACTCAGGTTTGGAACCAATGAGGACCAAGGTGACTCCTGCAGTGTAGACTTAAAAGAAAAAGAGGGCACGCTTTTGAGACAAAGGAAGGTGATAAGGAGAATATTTTACCTCCAGTCCTTGCCAGTCTCATAGCCCACCTAGAGTCTGTTCTAGTTACAGAACATGGAGCTGTTTCCCCTGGGAACAACATCTTGTTTTCTCACGAAGCCAGGGCCTCCCCTGTCAGAAGCCTCCTTGTAGGTGTTTAAATTATCTCTTTGCAATCACTGGTGTTAAAAAATCTGGGACATTAAACATAGACTCATCCCAGAAAAATCTCTATACACAAGAGCAGGCAGAGCAAAAAGTTCCACCACCCAGCCAAACCCGTTAGGCCACACTGTATACAGGTTTTAATGAAAAGCATACAATTTGCTCAGTCACCAAAAAACACCTATGAAGGGAATCCCTGCATGAAAAATATCCCAAACCCAACACGGCGGATAAAGATCTTGCTCCAAGCACATTTGTTCTGGCTGGCTCGGGTCTAGTGCTCGCTCCAGTGTGCTGGATGTAATAAACAAAATGTAAATCGAGGCGGCACAAGCAAGGAGATCAGGTGCTCCGGCGGGCTGCTGCACAGAGCACGCTTTGATAAATAACTCAGGAGCTGGGTAAATAAACACATTTTCCCCCCTTTTTTCTTTTGAGAGAGAGCCTGCTTTTGATTTCTCCTTTCAGACTCAAAATATGACAGGTTTGGGAGGGAAAGAAACACATCACTCTGTCCCATGGGGCAGTGCCACGTTTGCCCTTGCATTAAATTGAGCAAAACAGACCCCAGATCCTTCCTCTGAGGCTGGGCATGGAGGAGGCAAGAGCTGAGATGCTCCTCTCTATGGGCCATGCATACTACTGGAAAGACTCAAGGAGGAGACTTGTGGAGTGTTCAGCTGAAGGTCTGCTCAAGTGACAGTTTATTAATTGCAAGCTGACAAATAGATCTGATTTCCATTTCTATTTTCTTGGCAGAGTCAGTGCTATCATCCTGCCAATATGTTCCCAAACCTGCACCCATTTACAAAAAAAGTAAAAAACAAACAAACAAACAAAAAAAAACTATGTGCAAAGTAGGCTGTGTACATCCTGGGAAACTGAGATGTGCTGTCATAAATTTGGAGCGTGACAGCCTTGGCAAAGACACTCAGGCACCTGGGATCATGGCAGGAAGGAGCTGGGCTCCTGAGGCCACCCTGTGGGGCTATCCTTAGCTATCCTGAGGGGCTGCTTGGGGAATATCCTGTGGGCTGCAGGTGCTTTTACGATCATCTCCCTCACTTTGAAAAATAACTTATTTTACCAGCAAGGAACCCAGCTCTGGTGGCTGACTGTTATTTCCTATTGTTTCCAAGTCCGTGACCCTAATTGGCCGGTCATGGTTTACTTTTGACCTCTTGGCCGCTTCTCGGGCCAGAGTCAATGTTCCTGGCTAAAAAGCTGCAAAACACACATCTCATGCATTAACCACCATATTCAAATCAGCCACTGACAGGAGGGAAGGGGGAAATTTGCTCTCTTCACTGAAACATTTTCCAAATCAAAAGTCTCCTGTCGCTTGACTTGGCCTATCTGGGGCATGACAGATAACGTCAAGAGAACCAAGTGCTTTGTGTCAGACCCAAGTGTATCCTCAGAAGGCCGGGCCTGCCCAAGCACTTGGAGGGGGCACGAGGAGAAACTCACCATATCTGGGCCCGCCTTTCCTTCCTTCATTGTTATCGTGGCACGTGGCACAAATTGAAATGGAGCCACTTTCAATGGTGATCAATCTCAGGGACTACAGAGGTGACATTAAATATTCTTGAAAACAAAAACAACCCCAAACCAGAAAACTAGAAAGGCAGGAGCACCCATCAGTCAGGGTGATCTCTGGCTAGCTGTGGCTCGAGCTGAGTTTTAGAGGCTCCCTCGGTGCTAGGCAATGACCGTGGCACATGGAGAGCAGTGGAGGATCCTGGGGGTGCTCAGGGGCCAGGGTGAGTCGCATGGTGGCTGCAGCTGTGTACGGGGAGAAGGAAGCATTTCAGTATGTAAATACCCATCAGACCCTCTGCTAGGGTGGTGTCTCCAGTTATCAAAAATGATGTGAAATGTTATTGAGCCACTCCAGAATGAGAACCTTCATTTGAAAGTCTATGTGCAAGCGTCCTCTCGGGGAAGATAGACAACTCACCATCTCTACTTCAGAGCTAAAGTGTAGAAGAAAACGGACTCACTCTTTTAGGAGGGGCCAGGGTAAAAGATGGCCTCAGAGAGAGCCTGTGTCCAGAGGAGAGGTCTGGGGTCTGCCCTGAGAGCCCGACTGTGGCAGGTGGAGCTCATGTCACCTCCTTCATGAACGCTGGTGCCTATAAAAGTCCTGGACTCCCTGAATTCCAAGAGAGAACAGCCCCCCTCCATGCCATTGCTGTGAAAGCCCTCCGCCCTCTCCTGCCTCCCTCTCTCCTGGGACCACACTGGGTCCCCGCCTGGCGTGGGGCCTGCCATCTGGCCTGCCAGAGCAAATGACACATGCATCTGTCAGAGCACGATTTTAACAAAGAACACAGAGAGATCAATTAGAATGAATCATGGATGGTCCTCCTCCCTGTTCTAAAAGCCTTGGCACTTTATTACTGAGATCATCGTATATATATGTCATAGAACTCTTGAGTTTTGGGATTGGAAGGCTCTTGAAAAATTCAGTCCAACCACTTTATCTAACAGCCCAGAAAGACTGAGCCATGTGAACTAGGCCTCACAGGGAGGCAGGAGTAGGAGAGGAAGAAAACTTCAAGATGGGACTTATCATCTCTCTTGACACGGAGCCCAGAGCCCCTACCTTCCTCCCTGGGATGGCAGGAAGGCCAAGGACAGGATGGTGCCTGGTAAATATCATGTTGCAGAGATCAGCAGGCCCTTTGACAGCTGAGACCCCATACTCAGATTCTGGACATAGGAGCTACTGCAGCAAAGTCATGTGCAGAGACCTAGTACAGAGCTTCCTTGAGGGGTCCTCCACTGACTCCAGGACGGACACCCAGAAAGGATGCAATGGTGTAGGTTCTCTTTGTACTGGGAGGGCACAGGCAGACAGGGCCACTCTGACCCACTCTCCATCCTCACCTGGGAGCATCTGCTGTGGCTTTCCATTCCTGAGAACCTAATTAGGCCTCATGTCAAACCGAAGAATGGCAAGGAAGATGCAAAAGCAAATAGTGAGCTGGAAGTGAAGTGTGGCTTGCTGGGTTCCGCGTCTTTCTTGCCATGTTCTCCAGCCACCACAGGGACTCACAGAGGCTCGGGAAGTAAGCAGGCTGGGGCGCAGCTAAGTTGTCCCAACCTTGGTGCAACAAGTGAAACCCTAATGCAACGAGGCTAACAGAGTGATGCGGACAGACCCCTGCCTCCTTCTAGTAGGAAAAGATTCTCTGAGGTAGAGGGGAGAGTGGAGGGTTTCTCGCAACAAGCCAATGCAGGCTTCTCGTGTCCATTTGAAGGAAGGAAGTAGAGGCCTGGAGATCCTGGGGCAGAAAAGCAACTGATGCTTTGCTCAGGACCAAGGCAAGGCCACCAGCACCCCATGGCCTAGGACACCTCGGCACAAAGCAAGCCCAGGGCTGAGGGCAGGAGCCAGAGGGAGCTTCATCTCAAGGAGGAGTGAGGCCGGATTCTGTACTGTAGAGGTACCGTAGAGATGCTGAGGGTACTGTAAAGATGCTGGGAAGATACCAAGTTATTGTCAGTCACTGATTTCTTGAAGGGGCTTATCTACAAGAATTACATGTCACATTGGTTGAAATTTTAATAGTGAATTTATTCTTACTGTTCATGATAAAATTAGTTGGAAAAACTTAATTACTTAATTTATAAATAAAATCATATTAATTTCATATATACACACAGACCCTTCACTGCTTTGAGTGCAGGAGCATGTTAGGCTGCCACCACCTGGTGGCAGCGTACCTAAATACAGGATCTGCTTTTGAGGAGGTGAATTAACCCTTCAGAAGGCAGAGTCTATAAAACTGAATATGGTAGGTGATGGCAAATGTCAAAGCAGGATGAGCTTCCTGTTTGACACAGAAGGAACTGAGGGGACTGGGGGAGGAAGGCAATGCCAGGGAGGGGGGAGCTCCAAGCCATATGTCCACCTGACACAAGAGGGTGCTCTGCGGATTTTTCTTTCTGCCACACCCGTGAGATTTTCTTTCCTTGCCTTTGGTCTTCTATCTCTTAAATCCTGAAAACAGTTACTACAAAGAGTAGCAACTGCTGTCCAAGGAACAGAAGCCATTAAGATCTTAAGACATCCCAACACTGATGAACAGGGCCAGTGTCATGACACACCAGGGATGCAAGATATTCACCATGCTCCCACCTCCAGGCTACTCACCAAGGTTGTACCACATGTCTCTGATTTCAAAGCCAATCTGTCTCCTCATATCTCCGTACCTGGAAATCAGGGAAAAGAAAAACACTGAATCACTCCAGAGAGCATCTGAAAATCGGAATGGAATTAGTCTTAAGTGCAATCAAGCCTTCTGGCACTGAGACAAACAAAGAGAGTGTCAAAGCTTCAACTTCTCTTGCCACCAAAAGGAATCAAACGAGGAGGGGTCTAGCTGGGGGAATCTCACTTTCTCATCACTGAGGAGTACACGACATCGTCCCTCCCGTGCGAACGTGGGGGAAGTTGTGGAGAGTCATGAAAGCATTTCCCTTTCTTCAGTCTCTTGCCTCCTGGGTCCAAGGGGGAGCTTGGTTCCATGCATGTTGTTAGCGTCTAGGCACTGCAGACACCACATAATATCCTACTGCACACAACAGATTTTTTTCCAAAGTTAAAATTAAATCCAGAGTCAGGGCAGACCTCTTCCAAAGTTCTTGCATTCCTCTATGTCATTTTAAATGTAAGGAAGGGCTTAACACCAAAAGATGCCAACAAATCTTCCACTGTTTTTGTTTATCAGGGAAAATAAATGCTAATTTTCCTCCCGAAGGGCACACAGAGGAGGTGTGTGTTTCATGAGTAAACAGAATCTGATGCTCCAGAAGATAAACCTTTATTAGTTTGTGAGCAATTTAACTTTTTCTTTTACTGCCTAAGGAAAAAGCTGATTATATTAAAAATAATAATTTGCAAAATGATCATACAGGATTACAGTTGAGCAGCTGTGTCATCGAGCTTGCTCCGCTCATCCTCGTGTCAGGAGATGTGAGAAGGAAAGCACTGATTATAGACGAATGCGCTGTGGCTCTCGAGACGAAGATCCTGGACGGTAAATCAACAACCTCGGCCTGCTGCCACCTTATTAGAGAAGTCTCTGGTGCCCTAAGCACCTGTCTGTCACTCATGGCGTGAGCAGGCTACAGCCAGAGCGATCATCTCAACCACAGAAGATCAATCTCGCCTGGCAGCTCTGCTGTGGTGCGTGGGAGGCCACGCGCCTTGGCCCACAGTGCCGGCGGAGAAAAGGAACTGGAGCCTACGCCACTCGCTACCAGGACACGCTAGCTCTGAGCGCAGCCCTAAACCAGGTGAGCACTGATGCAGGCAGACTCGGTTAAGGGGGGTGGATCTCAGATGGGGAGACGGCCCAGCATTGAGGCCACAGTAGGAGAGGCCCATTCATGGTTGGCGAAAGCACGCAGGCAGCAAAGCTACTGGATCCGGGTGGGTGGGAGAGAGGAAAGCACCTGCCTAACTCACGCCCCCAACTGCCCAGGAGACACACGACCTGAACACTGCTTGGAAGCTTATACTGCTGGCTCCCCATTCCCATTTTACTCCTGCACCAAGACAAAGGGATCCCAGCGGCTGCTGCGGCCAGGGCTGGGCAAGGATGTAGCTGGCTGTGGGGTGACCTGGCAGGCTGGCATCCTTGAGGTTGGTGAGGTTCTCGCTGTGCAGGTGGGTGAGTCACCTTCCAGCCAAGCAGGTGTTGGGCAAGCCCAGGAACGTGGCATCAGAAAGAGGTGGCCCCCCCGAACACCAACAGCCCCTGCCCCCGTGTTCCCCAGCAGAGGTGAAATGTTCACAGTGGGATCGGCCTGGCATGTACTGACCCACTCAAGCTCTGCACATGCTTCTCCATCCCAGCGACACAGAGTTCTTCTCATTCTGGGATGATTCCCTCAATATAGGAAGGCCCAGGCCAGGTGCGGTGGCTCACTCCTGTAATCCCAGCACTTTGGGAGGCCGAGGCAGGTGGATCACCTGAGGTCAGGAGTTCAAGACCAGCCTGGCCAACATGGTGAGACCCTGTCTCTACTAAAAATACAAAAATTAGCTAGGCGTGGTGGCACGTGTCTGTAATCCCAGCTACTTGGGAGTCTGAGGCAGAAGAATTGCTTGAACCTGGGAGGTGGAGGTTGTAGCGAGCTGAGATTGCACCACTGCACTCCAGCCTGGGCGACAGAGCAAGATTCTGTCTCAAGAAAAAAAAAAAAAAAAAAAGGCCCAATGCTAGGCTGAACTTCATCAGTGTCTGTGCCTTGCTGGACTCGGCTCAGTTACTTCTCTCAGGTCCCAGAATGATTAGAATGATAATGATTCCAGGGAAATCCTAAAGTTCAGACATCCTAAAGTACAGGAGACTCAGCTGCAGTGGATTTCCCACTTGCGGTTTGGGAAATTCAGGAGTGATTTGCTGTATTTCCAGAGCTGGCACCACAATCTGGATCTGGAAGGCCAGGTGCATCCGCTCCTCCCCATCCTCTTTGCCCCTCCCCACCCCTCCCCGATGCTCCCCACCCCTCCCTGCTGCTCCCCACCCCTCCCTGCCTCCCTGCACAATGCCTCTCCATTGGGTGGTGAAGGAGGTTGAGGTGAGGGAGTTCCATTCTTAGGTAGACTTTACTGTCGTGTAGGTGGAAGATGACAGTCGCTGGCAGTATTTGAGAACTGGGGGATTAGCAAGGACAGGAGAGCACACCCCTCAGGAGAGTCGGGCCTGCGACATCAAGGTGCTAAAGATGCGGTTTTAATTGTTAAACAGGACAAGGGCGCTCTAGCCTGGAGCACAGGCAGTGAGGGAGAGCGGGGAGTTGAGGGGAAGGGCCGGCTGGACGTCCCTGGCAGCGAGAGGGATCTTTTCCTTGGTTTTAATAAGAAGGCAGCTTTGATAAATCTATACATGCCCCAGAATAATCCCCAAATAAAGTCACAGCTGTCACCAGACCTCAAGAGGGCTTCCCAAGCCATTTCTTCGTTCTTCCCACGGAGGAGGAAAAAAGGATAATTGAGAGTGTAGGGCTAATAAAGCTTATTGCCTGGAAGCAGAACCCCGGGCTGGCGGCAGCCCTGGGGACCATAACTAAGTTCCTCTCTAGCAATAAACAGCCTAAGGGACTGCACCAGTTGTACAGGAGAGAAGCAAAAGGACATGGCCATCCTCACCGGGAAGGAGTAGAGAATCCAAGTCTTCAGACTCCCACACCCACAGCACGCACCCCCGGGACCAGGGACTTTCCGTGCCTCCACAGCACGACACAGCGTCGCATCTTTCAAAGTGCTTTCCTTTCACTTGATTTTGGAATCAGACTATGAGCTGAGCAAGCCGACACCTCTGTGCCCATTTTCTCAATAAGAGAGCTGAGATTCACAGTGGGGAACACACATGCCTGACTCCACCGAGCCAGGATGGCCTGGAGCTTCTCACCTGCGCCCACCCACAGCAGGACTGAGCAGGAGAACGTATGCTTAGGAGGCACACTTCCTACCACCTAGGGAGATCTGGGATCCCACATCCAGGCTGTAACCTGGACATAAAATTGTGTGAATTTGGTCCCTGTGGTCTAACCTTAGCACCTGGTTTCTTGCATCTTCATTCCAACAAACATACCCTTGAGCGACAGCCCAGGCTTGGGGGTAGGGCCAGCCTGAGCCTGAATCTAAGCACACTGGGCAATTTACTCGACCACTCTGACCTCCGTCTCCTCCTCTGTAGTGCTGGGAGAATGGTGCATGATGCTCAGTCCTAGGTGTTTGTGAACAACAAGAGAGTGATGATGTCCCTGTCTTATCTGGCAGGCACTGGAGCCACGCTAGGTCCTTCCTTTAAAATCTCAGGCTGGGCATAATATTCCCCTCATGGTTGCAATGGTCATTTAGATCGATTCACTTAGTGAACATTTACTGAGCACTTGGGCCAGACACAAAGCTAATGCAGAAATATGAATATTCATATTGGAATATTAATATTACTATAATATGGAGAACAGACAAGACCCACAAACCACAGCGGGCTATGAGCATGGTAAGAGAGACGAACATTAACAAAATAATCACACAAGATAAACATGTATAGATATAGAGATAGAGGAACTGTTTTTGTGAAGGCCAGGATCACGGCTTTGTAGGGAAAACATGGGAACTGTGAGAAAATTTAACAGTGGGCTCAGCTTGGCTTTCGCAGGAGTTCTCTAGGCCACTAATATTTGCTCTGAGATTTGAAGAAGGAGAGATGAAATTTGGATGAAGAGCGTAGGGAAGAGCATTCCGGGCAGAAGGACCGGCAGGCGCCAAGGCCCCGTGGCAGGTGGGGAGTAGGTGAGTGCCCGGTGGGTGTGGCTGCAGAACACAGAGCTGGCTCCTTCAGTGGAAGAGGCCGGGGGTGAGGGGGATGCACTGTGAGCAGAGGCTGCAGGAGGCAGGTGTTTTTAAAGCGCCCCCCCCCGCCACTTCTTTTTAAGTTTCATAAACTTTTCTGACATAAAAAATACATGTATTAACCAGCACATATATTAATATACGTGTATGTGTATAAAGTTTTATGAAATGATGCTTAACCTTACTGCCTGCAATGAATGCTGGTATTTTTTCCTAGATTCTATTTCACTGAAAAAAGAAAAAAAAAAGTCTATTGGTCATGACTAGTGTGGGTTGGACTGTGTCCCCTTTAAAGCTATGTTGAAGTCCTAAACCCTGGTATCCATGACTGTGACCTTATTCGGAAATAGTCTTTGCAGATGTACTCAAGGTAAGATGAAGTCATACTGGACTAGGGTGGCCTCTAGATCCAGTGACCTGCGTCCGTATAAGGAGAGGGAGATTGACAGACACAGATACATAGGAAGACAAGGGAGAAGGCCACAGGAAGATGGGGCAGGGATTGGAGTGACACAGCCACAAGCCAAAGAACGCTGAAGACCGGGGCAGCCACCGGAAGCCAGGAGGGAGGCAGGGAACCTCCAGAAGGAACCAATCCTGCCCACACTTTGATTTTGGACTTCTGGCCTCCATAACTGTGAGACAATAAATTCAAGTCACCCGGTTTGTGTTCACTGTTACGGCAGATCAGCCGAGGAAACAGATGTGATGGCCCTTTAAGTGAATATTCTGACCCAATCAAAGGTTGAGACCTGCAGTTTGAAAAATGCTTTCCTAAGGAAAGAGCATAGAATGTGAAGGCCTAAGACCAAGGTGTGAGGAGCCCCCTGCCACTCGATGC